TTTCACAGATGCATACATATGTCAAAACATCAAATTTTACAGTTTATATATGTGCAGTTTATTATATTCAAAGATGCCTCAATAAAGTGTTTAATTTCTAGACCTACCAAAAACCAAACCAAAAACAAGAAGAAGTCAATAATAGGTACACACACCTTGTAGTAATAATTAACAAGAGAGAACACAGTTAAGGCAACTGTCATAAAGGAAAACTTGTATATTTACTCGTGGAAGAGCGTTTTGATATAATTAACCTGAAATAGTTAACAAAATTCATTGACACACTATATTTGTTCTTATCAAGAGATCTCACTGCTGTGTGAGCACTTAAGAATGGAAATACGTATCATTTTAAGTGTAGTTGTAGCTGTATCAATATCCACACACGACCATGTAAGATTATACAACGTGATTGTGGGGCCTGGCAGATAGCAAGGGTGGATGCTGAGCACAAGTGTGGGAAACTGAGGCAGAATTTCTTTCTGGCAATCTGGAAGCAGAATTCATTTTTCTTTAGGGGTTCTCAGTCTTTACTCTTGATAGAAAAGGACCCACCCACATTCTGGAAGGAAGTTGGCTGTACTCAAAACCTACTGCTTTAAAAGTTAATCACATTTGAAAAATATCCCCATATCCACATCTAGACTAATGTTTGACCAAACAACTGGGTGGCATAGTCTAACCACATGGACAGAAAATAAACATCAGAGTCGGGAAAAAAAGAAAATTAATCAGGAGTAAAAGGTAGAAATGTAATACACATACAAAAATATATCTAACTCACTGGTGTGTAAAATTGTTCTGGACTAATAAACACACTCTCCCTTGCTTTTTGTTGTGATTTCAGTGCTTCAGGGACAATCAAGAAATTGCTTGGGGTCTCCTCAGGGAGAGTCTCAAAGGCTGGAAAAAGAATGAATAAATTGATCTCACTACGCACCTTATGAAGCACATGGGGAAGCCAAGTCAGAGGTTCCATTACAGGTAAACAGTATATTTCATGAGGCATCATATTGTACTTGTATCTGAATAGTTTCGGAGTCATTTGCAAAATAACACTTTCATTCTGTGACAAAGCACAGCAAAATATGAGGACTTCTAGTTCCATGTACATCCTACTATTAATAATGTCTGAGCAGAACAGGACTTCCCCCCTTCCCTTCAGATTAACTGTTCAAATATTTTCACAAATGCTAATGAGCATCTTTAAAATGTCAGTGCCATGTTGTTAATGTAATATTTATATTCCATATAAATATTTAATCATATGAATAAGAAAGGACAAAACTGTGGGACAAGAAAGGCTAAATAAAGAGCCAGGAATAAATAATAAAAATTATGGCAGAAACATGAAGCTGCAGGTGGTCAGTTTCTCGTTTGATGTCTTTCTAAATCTTTAGTCAGTTGGTAACTGTGGCTCTTCTTATTTTCATCTCAAAATATTCTAATAATTAATATGAAATTAAAACAATCTATAAATGTGATTTTTTTCCTTAAATTTCGATGAACAAAGTGAGTACTTCCATCGTACACAGATAGGAAAAATAATGTTTGGTGTTCAGAAATCTTTTAAGTATCCAGTTTTAAGGTGATGGTCCAATATACAGCTTGTTCAGTTTCCAGTGGAATTTGAAGGAAACACATCCAATTTTCTCAAAAGATACATAGCCTTAAAAATAATAGTCAGATAATCAGCACAGATAGTAAAGTATGAAAACGCAATTTGATGCTGTCCATAGATGTCTAAGAATGGTGACAGAAACTGTGTTGTTCCTTATTTTACTGGAAAATCAGCACTTAATATAATTTTTCTTTAGCTTTTCATCATTGTACTTTAAACAAGATTTATATTGCTTCTTATTTCTTTGATTTAAATATGTTTAAGAGTAGTTCAGTATTTCTGACATGGAGAGGTAAGCACATGGGGATAGGATATCAGACATTCACAAGGTTATAAGCCATGTTTTATGTGAGAAAAAGGTGGATTTTCTGTAAACATATACAGTATAGATATATAATTGAATGCTGTTAATGCTGTATTTTTCTATTGCCTTTCTTATGGCTCACTAAAAGACACTGGACACATATTTTCCTTGTAGCCAGTATCAATTCCCTTTTTCTTTTTCCTTCTTCCCTTCTTTCTTTCTCTTTCTTTTGAAATGCTGATAGTCAATTTTCTAAACCACCAATCATTTCATTCTACTCTGTCATCCTCCTTCTATTCTGGTATTGTTTTAATTAGCAGTTTATTAGGGATATTCATATACATTTTTTTACCATTTAAAAAATTTACTGCCTATATCTGTATTTACATCTGTATTTATATCTATCTATATCTGTCTATGTAAGTGTTTGTAAATCTCAGCCTTATTGACATTTTGGTTTTGATAAAACTGTGTTGTTGTGTGTGGGGATCTAGTCCTAATGTAGCGAGACAAATGGCAGCATCACTAGACTCCAACCATCAGATGCCATTAGCTCCCCCCTTTCACTCACTCTACTTGTGGAAATCAAACTGCCTCAAGAGATTTCCAGATGTTCTTTGGGCTACAAATCATCCCATTTGAAAAACCACTGATTTATTTCTGTCTCCAATCTTATCTCTATCATCACTGACTGACTGACTGACTGACTATCTATCTATCTATCATTGTTACATATGTTTACTGTGGCAGGCGGGTTTATTTTAAAATACCCTGAATTGGAAATTTGGATTTGTCATATTGGTTCTAGCTCTGCATCCTAAAACACTACCAGCTGATAGTACACAACAGCTGTTGACTGTGCTGATGTCTTTATCCAGAGTAGGCTTTCTGATAAACCTGGATGGAAACACCCAATGGAACCGTTCTGAGCGAGTTCATTCTCATGGGCATCACAGACCGCCCTGAGCTGCAGGCTCCGTTATTTGGGCTCTTCCTCGTCATCTACGTGATCTCAGTGGTGGGCAACTTGGGCATGGTCATCCTCACTATGGTGGACTCCGGGCTACAGACACCCATGTACTTCTTCCTCAAACATCTATCTCTCACTGATCTGGGTTATTCAACAACCGTGGGACCCAAAATGTTAGCAAGTTTTGTTGTGGATGAAAATACAATCTCCTATTACTTTTGTGCCACACAAGGAGCTTTCTACATTATGTTCATCATTAGTGAATTTTTCATTCTGTCACTAATGTCCTATGACCGCTATTTGGCCATCTGTAACCCTCTGCTCTACACAGTCATCATGTCACAAAGGGTATGTCTGGTTCTGGTGGCAATCCCCTATCTCTATAGCACATTTGTGTCTCTTCTAATCACTGTAAAGATATTTAATTTATCCTTCTGTGGCTACAATGTTGTCAGTCATTTCTACTGTGACTGTCTCTCCTTGTTATCTTTGCTCTGCTCAGATACACAGGATATTGAATTGATTATTATGATTTTCTCAGTGTTTAATTTGATTTCATCCCTTCTGGTGGTTCTTGTGTCTTACCTGTGTATCCTTGTAGCCATTCTCAGGATGAACTCCACTGGGGGTCGGCACAAGGCTTGGTCTACCTGTGGATCCCACCTGACAGTGGCGACAGTGTTCTATGGGACTTTACTCTCTATGTATTTGCAGCCCAAGTCCAGGCATTCCTTTGACACTGACAAAGTGACTTCTATATTTTATACTCTCATTATCCCCATGTTGAATCCCTTGATCTATAGCTTGAGGAACAAAGATGTAAAATATGCTGTTCATAGGATATGGAAAAAAATATGCAATATCTTTTCTTAAATTCATTTTACTATGTGGTTCCTCTGAATTAGGCTATGAACATTAGGAAGCATTGCTATGTGCTCCCTCAGAGGGAAAAGGAAGGATAAATGAGTTCAACATGTATTTAGAGATTGACTTCTAAGCACCAGCCATACTTCTAAGTGCTCTAAATGCATTAGTTAATGAACAATAAATATGTATTTTAAACATAATAATTAGGTAACTTACTGCTACAGTTTAACGGGTTAGGGAGTCCCATTATATGGGTTAGACTATAGCCACAGGCAAAGAATGTGGGTATGATCCGTGAGAGTGAAAAACATTAGCTGGTACAGACGGAATTAAAATGACTTGTGTTATTCTCAAATAGTAGAATAGAAGTTCCAGTGCCTGCATATTAGTGTGTATGTATGTTTGCTTTCCTGTAAGCACATGCTTTCTGCTTAGCCTTCATTCGTTTCTATACGGTGGGTTAAAACACACTTGATGTTAATTTCAAGGAGGCTCAGTGTACTGTGGTAATCTGAACTCATCTGAATTTGCTCAATGTCTCCTTCCCACAAGGGGATCTTTGTGTCCGGCTCTTTTCTCATCAGTATCATTACTTTCACATATGAACCTTAGATAGTTGATTAACTCAACATACTTGGCATTTCGGCGACCCAGATCAACACAGCAGCTAAGTTTGTCTAAATCAGTCCATTTGTTTATAAAAATGGATATACCGATTGAGCTCTGTTTCTTGTGGTTTGCCATAGAAGCTTCCTGGGTTTTTACTTTTTATTTTTCTTGCCAACTGATCTTGAGTCCTAACCACTTGCTTTTGTTTAATGGATTGTTACCTTTTTTTAAAAATCTTTCTGAAAAATAAGAATAATTCCTGTTTAAAAGTCATTTTCTAGTTGTTTTTGTCTTCTTGCGTATGAGGTCTGCTCTGGGATAAACTGGGGTGTTGCCTCGCTTTAATTTGGCTGCCTTTCCACAAATTTGGTCTGAATGAGGGTCACTATGTTTTGATTAAGATTCATTGTTTGACTACATCAATTTGATGACCCTACTTATAAGAAGCAAAATGAGATGATGCCATGATTTGGATGATACTATATTTCTAGTGAATGTGTAGTGTAATATGTAGTCATTTGTAAAGTTGTCATGTCTTTTGGACCCTCATTAAATTCTCTTATTGTTTGTTCATTTGTATTACTTTTTAATATTCAATAGACTTATTTACATCATAGAGATACTGAACTGTTTTCTGAGTTCATCATCATGGAATAAAATTATCAGTGAAGCCAATCAAATTTGAATAAAAATAATTCATAAGGATATATAGTAAATGAGGTAAATATTATTGACATTTTTACAGTTTATTGTTTAATTATTAAGAAAAATTACATACCTAAGTATGAGCTATGCATACATAAATATTTTTTAAAAATGTCTTCCCTAGATTATGTATCTTGGACAAAAATACAGTACAATGTTAGTAACATATGGATTGAAAAAACAAACTGTGAATAAATGCAACCCAGTATCTCACGTCTAAAATAAATAATGGAGTATCTTTGATTATCCCTCAGGTTATAAAACAAAAAGAAAAAATGTATTAAGATTTACATAGTTTGAAAATATATTTCATTCATTCAAAAAATTAGTCTTTATTTCATTATCAAATAGATACATAATTTGTATCAGAAAATATATTTTCCATAGAATATTAAATGTAAAAATCAGGAACTGGTACATAACATAAAAAGTCGCTCGGTCGCATTATTCACTAAATAATTTTCATTTAAATTTTAATGAGATAAAACTATATTCAGGTAGAGTATCTAGTTGTTTCTGTGTGAAGGAACTTTCATACATTACTGATAGAAAATAAAATGATATCTAAGTATTTTAAACCATCTGATTAAAGATTCACTGTCTTAAAAATTAAACATGACTCTAACATAGTATTTAGCTATTCCACTGCCCTGTATTTACCCACAAGATATGAAAGCACATTTCATTACAAATATATGTATGCAAATGTCCATATAATCTTTATTTATGGCAGTCAGACACTGGAAACAATCCAGAAGTTCATCCACTTGAGAATAGATAAACAAATTGTGGGCTATCCAAGCAAGTGAATATCACAGAGCTATAAAAAGTAGTGAATTATTGGTACAATGAAAACATGGATGACTCTCAAAATTATTATGCAGAGGAAAGGATGCTGACTTAAAAGAGTAAATAATCCAAAATTAAATTACAAACAAATCTAATATGCATACATCTATCATTGCATAAAGCAGGTCAAACAGGAAATCCCAGAAAGTACCAAAAAAAAAGGGGGGGGGATGCATAAAAGTCATCATCTTGGAAAAGAAGAAGTAAGATGGTCTGTAATGCAAACAACATGCTGTTGAATAGAAAAATCTCAAGGAATTCTCCCCACAAAGTGAGTTCAGCAAGATGTCAATTCATATATGTATACAAATAACATGCAGAAATCAAAATATATATGTATATACTCACTTGTATATACATGTACAACTTACAATCACACAAGTATAATGAAATAGTAAGAAACTCAGAGAATGTGCAGGATATGTATGTGGAAAAGTAGGCTGATTAAATAAATCAAAGAAGATCTGAATGAACTATAAGATATACTGAGTTTGTAGATTAGTAGAACATTTCTAGGTGGGAAAGAAAAATTGGAGTAGGAATTGCACAGAATGGAATAAATGAAATGCTGCAACCTGCAATTAAGGAAAAAACATATCAAAAGAGAAGTTGTAACTAGTCAAAGATGGCAACACACTATGAAGTGAGGAAAAATGAATAACGAATGTCTACTTCAGAAAGGAAGGGATACAACAAAAACAACTAAAATCAAGGAAATAACAGGTCACATTTCCCTAATACATCATTTTTACTCTATTTAAATTTTTCAAAGAATGTAATAGGACAGAGTCCCCAAGAGTTGGGGACTGTTGATAATCTGGTCCTAAACATCCGACCATTTACTCACTAGTCCTGTGTGGTACAAATGGAAAGTTAACTAAGAGTGAAAAATAGGAATTAAACAAATAATACACTTACTCACTGGTGAATACAAATTGTCCTTGACAATTATTGAACGACCTCCAGGCATTTTGCTGTGCTGTCCTATGCTTTAGGGATAATCAACAAATTGCTTGGCATCTCCTCAGGGAGAGTCTCACAAGGTGAACAATATATATAAATTGTTCTCAATATGCCATGTTAAGAAACACATATGGGAGTCAAGACAGAGGCTTCATTAAAGGTAAAAATGATAGCATATTTCACATGGTACCGTATGCTACCAATATCCGCACTGTCTCAGTGACATTTGTGAAGTTCCACTCTAATTCCAGGGCAAAGCCAAAGCAAAATGTGCCCATTTCTGATTCAGTCCTGTTTTCTTTCTAACAGCCATAATGCTAGAGCAAGAATAGGAACTCTTTCTTTCTTCTAAATTGTTGAATACTGTCACATGGATTGAGAGGCTAAATGCTCATATGCCTCTTTGAATCATTGTCCTATTGTTTGTAAAATATTTCTTTTAAGGGGGGTGGTGGGGGAGGGTAGAGCTCAGCGGTAGAGCGCATGCACAAGGTCCCGGGTTCGATCCCCAGCACCTCTATCAAAAAAGAGAGGTGTGAAATTTTTTAAATTGCCAAAATTAAGAAACTGCAGGTATTCAGTCTCTCATTTTGATGTCCTTCCAAATACTTCTTTAGTGATGCTGGACTGTTTTTGTGAGCCTTTCAAAGGTAATTTAACTTTAAATGATCATTTAAATAACCATAGAAAGAGAATTCTCACTTGATAACTTGATGAGGAAAAAAGAGGTTGCCACCTCACACTGAGGTGGGAAAGGCTTTACTGGGACACTAGGAGCCTTTTAAGCACCCAGTTTTATGTTGATGATGCAATGTTCAGCATATGCTTCATTGTCTAGTGAGATCTGACAGAAACCAGGTATAATTATCTCAAAGAGTATAGCTTCAAAAAATTAAAAACTGAATATTCAACAGAGATACTAAACTGTGAAAGAACAATTTGGTTCTTTCCATCGAACTCCAAAGCCGGTGTGGGAAAATGATTTTATCTTCCCTTACCTTATGGGAAAATTTGTACTTACCACGTGCTGTTTGCTTTTTCAGCCTTCCATGATAATAAAGGGAAACAAAAAGAAAAAAAAAAAACCCAAGCAAAAACCAAGATTTATCCCCCTCTTTATTGGGTTTACTATTTCTCTGATATTACAGTCTACTGATGCACATTTCCAGGTCTCTTAAAAAAAAAAAAGGAAAAAAGGTGTGTGCTTCAAGGCAATGCAGAATAGCATGAGATCACAAATTTAGAAGCAACATTTTCAGTAATTTAGCATAAATTGTATGTAATTACCTTTATATTTAATGTGGTGAAATTCTATGTTTTTGTCTGCTTAGAGCCCACTCAGACTCTTGATTTGCAATTTTACTTAAAAAGAATAATTTCTATTCCTTCAAAAAAAAGAGAAAATAAAAAACAAACAATAACAACAACAAAAACCCCGGAGCGTTGATGCCTGAAAGTTTTAAACCAAAAATAATTATCTTACCTTAACATGTGATTCACCTCCTACTCTGCTATAATTTTTTATCTGTGGGTTTTTAGGGTATTTTAGATACATTTCATGTCCTTTTGTACATGGTTATCTGCCTTATGTGCGTTGTCATAGTTTGAAAGAGTTCCTGTGGGCTTCATGTGCAGAAGGATTTCAAATCACATCTAGGAATCCATGTATGTCTCATCCTTGGCGTGTTTCATCTTGTGTCTATGGTATCGTGCATCATCATGATTTAAAAAAAAATGATTTTAAACATTTTTTTCTTTAAAGTATTGTATCAGAAAAAAAAAGTATTGTATCCCATAATCCAAAACGTATTTTTACAAAGCTTCACTATGTAAAACCACTACCAGTGACCTCTTTTCCTCCCAGTTGGCCCAGATTTCTTCGTAGTTCCCTAGTTTCTTGCATGACATAGTGCTTCTGATTTGTTACATACAAGGTAGTGTATTTCAATCTTAATGAAAGTGCTGCAAGGGGAAGAATATTTTAAGCAAATTTATATCAAAAGAACTTGCATTAAAATGCTGGTAAAATGGATTAAAATTAGAAGATAAGTAATCCTAAAGAATAACAACTCAATTGTTCAAGTTTACCCGTGAATAGGGGGTAGGGTAGGGACTGGGGTAAGTTGCATGTGTTACAGCCTACCAGTTCCTCACTACCCATCACTACAGCCCTGCCAAAAGAGTCACAGTCCAGAGAATCAATTTATATATAAAACCTTTTCCAGGAGAGTTACCATCACTATTGAAAAAGAAAAAAACAAAGAACTATATATTTGACATTTGAAAAATACTTCCAGGTAACAGAGACTCATTGAATCATGGAATCTTTATCCTTTCCAATGACCCTGCAAAATACTTTGCTTTGTATAGGAGAATAAACAGTTTTAGATAATTTACACTATTTGCCCAATTAACCCTTTGTCTATACCATACATAAAGGTATGGCAGAAACTGTATTTACATACACATATTTCCCAGTATGTTTCACCATATAGACAAAAATAATCCCCACTGAGACCCATTATACTTTGCTTATTCATACACTTATCCGTATCTGCCAAGCACTAACTTTTCAGCAAGTACCACCTGAAAGTATACGATCTTTCATAGGACTATGTTTTGAGTAGTGGGTTAAATGGACTTTTGGAATTTGTGGTTTGAAATTTGTATTATATAATTGTCATATGTATTATGTTCTATTATTGATGCATTTTATAAATGTCATTATGTGATTGTACTATATAAATAGTAAAAGGAAAATTTTAAAGAATGGTTAAATAACTGCCCATATATTTAATACCTGAAGGTTTAACATTGTTTTATTGTGTTTCCTTTTTTGTTTTGTTATCCATATTTATGTAACTCTGTCTGTCTGTCTCTCTCTATATGTCTATATGTATATCATCAGGGTTTCTCAGCTTTGATACTATTGTGACCACTGGCTGAATATTGTTACAGTTTGGATAGTAAATACAGTAAAATACTGAACAGCTTAACTGGCCTCAAACCAGTAGATATTATCTGAGGAGTAAAATCACTCCAGTAGAGAACCACTGATCTATTTCCATATTTTTTTCTATCTCTAGATTTTAATGTCTGGCAGATGAATCTATTTTCAAATATTCTAACCTGGAATGTTTAAATGAATCTTATTCACACTAGCTTTGCATACTAACACATCTCTGAGGAGATAATTCATAAAATCTATTGACTATGCTGATGTCTCTATTCAGAATACCTTCTCTAATAAGTCTGAATGGAAAACTACAATCAAACAGTGCCGAGCGAATTCATTCTCATGGGCATCACAGACCGCCCTGAGCTGCAGGCTCCGTTATTTGGGCTCTTCCTCGTCATCTACATGATCTCAGTGGTGGGCAACTTGGGCATGGTCATCCTCACCAAGGTGGACTCTGGGCTACAGACACCCATGTACTTCTTCCTCAGACACCTAGCTTTTACTGATCTGGGTTATTCAACAACAGTGGGCCCCAAAATGTTGGTAAATTTTGTTGCAGATCAAAATAAAATCTCCTATTATTTCTGTGCTACACAACTAGCTTTCTTTCTTGTGTTCATCATTAGTGAACTTTTCATTCTGTCGGCAATGTCCTATGACCGCTATGTGGCCATCTGTAACCCTCTGCTCTACACAGTCGTCATGTCACAAAGGGTGTGTCAGGTGCTGGTGGCAATCCCCTATCTCTATTGCACATTTGTTTCTCTCCTAGTCACTGTAAAGATATTTAATTTATCCTTCTGTGGCTACAATGTCATTAAGCATTTCTACTGTGACAGTCTTCCTTTGATATCTTTGCTCTGCTCAAACACTCGTGAAATTGAACTGATTATTCTGATCTTAGCAGGTTTTAATTTGATTTTCTCCCTTCTGATAGTTCTCGTGTCTTACCTGCTCATTCTTGAATCTGTTCTCAAGATGAACTCTGCTGAAGGTCGGCACAAGGCTTTTTCTACCTGTGGATCCCACCTGACAGTGGTCACAGTGTTCTACGGGACTTTGATTTTTATGTATGTGCAACCAGAGTCCAGTCATTCCTTTGACACTGATAAAGTGGCTTCCATATTTTACACCCTCGTTATCCCCATGTTAAATCCCTTGATCTATAGCTTGAGGAACAAAGATGTAAAATGTGCCCTACAAAGGACGTGGAAAAAACTATGCAATGTTTTCTCTTAAAGTTTATGTACTGTAGGAATCCTGTGCATTAGGCTGCAGGCTTCAAACTTTGCTCCGTGTGTCTCCAAAAGGAGTAATAAGCACAAATATGTTCAAAACCCATACAGAGATGGTCTTCTATGTGCCAGTCACACATCTATGCATTGTACATACATTAGCACACAAAACTGCAAACACTGTCTGCCTTCCTTGATGAGGAAAGATGAATTATAAATATAATTAAGTAAATTTTATCATACCTCAGAATGCATAAGGACATTACAGACTGTAAGAGCAGATAAGGAGATTGGGTATACCAGGTGGGCGTGAGGATGAATAGTAGGTACAAAAGGGGAGTTCAGATGATTAATGTTATTTTCAACTATTAGAATAAACTTCCCAGTGTCTACATGTATATTTGGGCAGGTGCATGTGTTTTTGTGTAAGTGCTCCATTCTGTTTTGGCTTCATACTACTAAGGTATGTGTTAAGCTTGAACTTATTGTGGTTTCAAAGAGGCTCATTGTAGTGTAATGATTTGAACACATCAATCATCTGAATTTGTTCAGATGCTCCCATACCACATGGAGATCTTAGGATCTTGTTCTATTCTCATCAGTGCAGTTGTTTTCATGTCTATGTCCTGCAAAGTCTGTTAGCTCAACTTACTCAGGGATTCAGTAACTCACAAAAGTCATCATGACGTCTTTGTAATCTGTCAGTCTGTGTCTCTATAGCAGTGGAAATACCAATTAAGATAAGTTTTCTTGATTGTAATTAACAGTACTGTGCTGTGTACTGGAAAGTTGTTAAGAGAATAGGTCTTAAAAATTCTCACCACAAAAAAGAAATGGTAATCATGTGATCTGAGATGTTAGCTAATGCTAAATTGTAATCATATTGCACTATATAAGTGTGTCAAAGCAACATGTTTGATTAAACTTACATCATATTATCTGTCAATTATGTCAGTAAAGCTGGAAGAAAGCAAAAAGAAATTTCTTGAGGTCCTCCATGGAAGCTTCCATTTTAAAAATGTTTATTTACATTTCATAGGAATCTTGATTTCTGTTTGTTTGTGTCTAATAGGATTGCTACATTTCCTTATCTCTCTGAAAAACAAAAATACTTCTTGATTAAAATTGTTTTTTCATCATTTTTGTATCTTTGCATGAGAGGTCTACTCTATGTTGAACTAGGTTTGTTGCTTCTTATTGGGTTAAATACTGTTTCCTATGAGTGTGCAATGTCTTTTATTAGGATCTAGTGTTTGACTGTCTTGGTTTGATAAACTCCCTGTAGGAAGCAAAGGAGAAAATCCCATGATTTGATCTACATTTCTAGTGAAAATGTAGTAAGATATGCAGCAATTGTATTCATATATTATGTTTCTGAACAAAATATCTTCTAGCCCTTGTAAATTTCCACCTTTTTGTTTAATTTTAATATCTTTAACATTTATGAGACTTTATTTACATAGTAGAGAGACTGGACTGATTGTCCACCATTGTGGAATTAAATCTTCTATGTAGTCAATCAAATTTGAATAAGAATAAATCATTGGAATTAAAAAATTACATGTATATTTGCAAATTAGATTAAATAATAATAAAGTGTTTAAATAGTTGATCACTTTAATTGTTAAGAAAAAATATGTACTGAGGATAAACTTGAAGGAGTAGGAAATGAACTAACTTCCCTGATGTTAAAACTGTTTGTGGATTCTTTCCAGGAAATCCAGGAATTTGCTCTCTCTCCCTTACTGCTTGTGCCAGGAAATCCAGGAATTTGCTCTCTCTCCCTTACTGCTTGTGCTAAGCAATCCCCAAATTTCTCTCTTACATTCTTTACAACAGTTTTAATCCAGAGGCTAGACTCCAGGAAGAAGCTCATGAGCTGATAGATAATCTCAGAAGAATGGTTGGACTCTCCAAGGTTCCCCCATGATGCCAGAAAGATTCATCAAGGTTAAGAAAGTGTAGCAGCGCCTTGTAAGTCTCCTGGTTGTTATTACCTTTTCTGTTGCATCTAGTTTTTCTTTAAAACTTCAAGGCCTTAACTCCAAGACAGATGCACAGTTTCTAAGGCATTTGCCTTGCGAAGCAATAAAGCTGTTCTTTTTTTCCCCAAAACTCTGTCTCCAAGTCTTCATCTGGCCATCAGGGCCCAGAGGCTGGTTTTGCTGCAACAACCTTTGCAAATGTAAATGTAGACAAATAACTTTTGGTTTCCAGAAAATGTACATTGGACAGATATACAGTGAAATGTTAACAGTAGTTGTTGGTGACTGCTATGATTATGAAAATGTTTAATTAATATTTTTTTAGTCATGTCCTCAAGTTATTTTCAGTGATTATTTATTAACATTCTTGTAAAAGAAAGAAAAAAAAGCCTCTAATATGTGGATTTGAAAAACAAATAAACTATGACTAAACATAACCAAATCTCTCATTTCTAAAATAAATCTTGGTGTGACTTTTATACTCCTTCAAATGATAAACCATAAGGAAGACCAAAATGTTTCAAAATTTACAAATTTTGTTATTATATATTATCCATTTTAAAGGTTATTTTCTATTTCATTATTAAGTACACATGTAATTTATCTTAGTAAGTTGTATATTTTTACAAAAAATATAAAAATTAAATCAGAAATTGGAACACAACTGAAATGTTTCATTTGATATTGTGAAGAATATTAGAATATAACATAGCATTATAACACAGCAGCATAAGTTATGCCCATTATGCAACAATTTTAATAAAAATTCTAGCAAAATGAATCTAGCAATATGTAGAAACAACAGTGTACCATATTAGCCTTATCCCAGAAATGGGCTTTATCATTCAAAATTAAAATTACCATATTAAGAAAGTAAAAAGGAAAAATTTTCTGACATCTCAGTAAATTCAGCAAAACATTTTACAGTTTCAATATGTTTCAGGAATAAAATCTTTGACCAGACTAGAATAAATGGAACTCCCTAAAACTGATAAAGGGAACCAGTGAAAGACCCGCAGGGAACGTCACATATCATATTAAAAACTCAAATACATTTTCACTAAATCAGAACCAAGGCAAGTAAGCCTGTTCTTTTCAACTACATTCAAATGGTACTGGAGGTTATATCTGTCAATGAGTCTGTCTCCTGCCATATCAGCAAACAAAGGATGGTGCAGCCATCAAGCCATCAGGCACTGCAGCCACTCCTAGCTGTGTGCCCTGAGGGGACTCTGCAGCCACTCCTAGCTGTGTGCCCTGAGGGGACTCTGCAGCCACTCCTAGCTGTGTGCCCTGAAGGGACTCGGGATGGAGAAGAGCAGGATACTGGCCATAAGTAGTGAAGGTGCACATCAAAGTAATGATTTCAATGAGCCCAGCCTCCGGCATCTTTCCCACACATAGGAAAGCACTAAGTTCATTCATTTGAAGTGTTTGTTTTTCTTTAACTCAAAGTAATCTTTTGCTGTTCCTGACTACCTGGTTTTTGTTACGAAAACCTGTATGTATTAGCTCCTTCCTTAACTTCAGAGCAGTCCCTCAGAATTATCTGAGAGGCTGTCTTTCAGGCTTAGGTCCTCAGCAAGTCTGCTGAGTGAAACAGAATTCTCAATTTTTAGGTTTTGCTTTTTTTTTTTTTTTTAGTTGACATGCCCAACACAATATGGCAAGGAAAAAGAAGAGAAAAAGTCAGATTGGAACGCGGGAAGTTAAACTGTATTTATTGATACAGAGCAAGATGATAGAGGTGGAAATCTAACGGAATCTGTAGAAAAAATTGAACTAAAATGTGAATTTAGCATGATTTCAAAAGAAAGATCCACACACAATTTTTTTTTAAATTTCTATATACAAGCAATCAAAAATTAGAGGTGGAATTTTCAAGTACCTATTACAAATGTATCAAAACTATAAAATACTTAAAGATAAATCTGAAAAAAAATTGTAAGGCCTGTATGCTAAAAATTAGGAAACATTTCTGAAAAACATTAAAGAAGACTAACACGAAATAAATGAGAGCCATACCATAATTATTTGCTGGGTTGTTCAATATTGTTAAAATACTACATTTTTCTTAATGCCCAATAAAAATCCAAACAAGCGTTGTTTTTTTTTGGTAGGAATTGAGAAGCTGAAACCAAAATATATAAATGAATGTAAAAAAACCTAGAATAGCTTAATTAACTTTAAAAAAAGAAGTAACGTTGTAATGCAAACACTAAGAGAACACTAAATAATGTCTAGTCATATTCCAAAGCTATAGCTATTTTTTAAAAGTGGTACTGGTATAAGAAATGACAAACAGATCAATGAAACAAGATTGATAGACCTGAAACAGACTCATGCCTGTATGAGCAACAAATTTTCTACAAGGCAAAAGAAAAAGGGCAATTTCATGGAGAAAGGATAAACTTTTCAACAAATGGGGACAGACTAATTAGATATACATATGCAAAATATTGAACTTTGATCTATAACTCAAACAAAGATTCACAAAAAAAGTATCATGGAAGTAAATGTAGTACTGAAAAGTCTAAAAATTTCAGAATAAAACATAGTAGAAAATATTCATGACTTTGGGAAATGTAAAGACTTCTTTGATAAAACAACAAAAGTAAAATCAATAAAATAAAAATTTGATACATTAGAAAACTTCAAAATTAAACCTTTTATTCTTCAAAAGATACACTTAAGAGGATGTAAAAACAATTTATATTCTGGAAAACATTATTTTCAGGTAATCTATTTCATCAAAGGCTTGTTCCGTAATATATAGAGAAATCACAAAAAAAAATAGTAAATAATAATACCTCCAGAATGGGTAAAACATTGAACAATTGCTTTGTCAAATAACATATAAAGATGATAAATAAGCACGTAAGTTTTTCCTGTGATCTAAAGCCATCAAAGGTAAGTATTCTTGCCACATCATTCTCTCAGCTCTCTGCCTGCAGTGACAGGTTAAGAGAGGAAGGCAAAGTTTTTCCTCTGGTCCCTTCTTTTCCAAATTCGGACATGA